GAGAGAGAGAGAGAGCAGTTCATCTTGTCCTCCTTTACCCCTTCTGAGAGCCTGCTTGTAAGAAACAATGGAAGTAGAGGAGATTACGTTCGAAGAAGATGACTCTTGAGTGGTAGGATTCTGGGTTGCTGGGGCCTCCAAGGGAATGGTGCATACCAAACACTTGTCATGGTCTGAAGATGTAGTGAAAGGGACATGCCTTGGTAATGGAGCACTTTGACGAGCCTCATCATCAGCATTAAGGTCGTCACCTAATGCTTCTAATGCTCAAACTTGAGATGGTCATCGTCAAGATGAAAATCCCATCCTTTGTACATCTTTGCATAGTCTGATCGCAATTTACTTAACAACTTGTCATTGTAGTGAACATAAACCAATGATTCGGAGCGTTGAGCATATAACTTGTTTTGCTTAACACTGGAAATATAACTATATGTACTCCAACACCTCTTAGCACATGGCGAGTTGATACTCTGAGACAACCATAGTTCCAAAAAGCACTAGGCTGGTCCTAGGCGGCCTGAGGGGTTCAGGCTGCCTAGCACCTCGGCGGGCGCCCAAAACCTGGGCCGCCCAGTCGAATCCAAAAAGGATGCCCAGTCAAAGATGCTTCTAAGGACTCAAAATCTTTTAAAAAACCCCCTAATAGATTTATAAAACATCAAAAAATAAATCTAATATCAATGGGTGATGTTTTGATCAATTTTTATCAACTTTGAAAGAAAAGAAAAAAATTTCGCCTCTGGGCGGGGCGGCCGCCTAGGTGGGTTCAATACCGCCTAGATTGGCCTCCTAGGCCTGGGCGATGCGCCCAAGCTTTCTGGACCTAGGCGGTCCGCTTTTTGAATCACTGGAGACAACACCTTAATAGCTATAGTGAATATAATTCAAGAACCCCACCACCATATACACCATGAAACAACTGACATTGTTCTGTTGTTGGAAATGGATACCGGGAGTAAGAAGACTCCTTCATTACTTACAAAATCACTGATGTATTGTCGTATTCTGCCCTTCTCGTTCTCGTCTGAGTACAATCTCTCAAGCGCAGCAAGATAAGACGCTGATACTTCTTTATCATGGTGCGGCTTTAGCCTCTTCTCCCCACCAGGAGTTGGCATAGTTAACCATTCCCGAGAGTAATACTTAAAGACTTAAAACATATGCGAAACATAGTTAAGAATCTCGATATTAGAACAAGAGGAATCCCGTTATATGACATACTTAAACTTCAATTCCTTGACCATGGGATCTTGTTCCTTAACCAAGGGATCTTGCTCCATAAACCTCAGGATCTCGTTCCTTGGCTTGATCATTGTACGAACGCCGGTCTTAGCCCCAAGGAGCATCCACTACACGGAGGTTCGGCGAATCCCGAACCGATCGCACACCCAATCCCGTCTCCAACAACTATGGTTTTGACTATTTCAATTACCAGCTTAGCAATTCATTACCGGTTGCATAAATGAAAACTGGTTCACATCCTAAAATTTAGTTAAGAAATTCCACAGCCTACATGTTTTTCTAAGATCTGTATTTCTGCAGACCAAACCCGTTTGCAGTCCAGTCAGTGGTCTGACCTCTTGGATTGGTTGGTCCCATCTGGTTCATATAACACTGACTGTCATAAACCTGTTTCTGTTACTAGGATTCACTTCCACTGAATTCTCCCAACTACTTGTCTATGATGTCTTGGGTCATCAAACACGTATTCTCACTTCTCTTCTATGTCGCTTCTGCTCCTGTGTGATATGTCTGAAATGTGTGTATGTCTAAACTTATAAATTTATGTAAAGCATTGTTATATTTACTATATATATATGATTAATTTCAAATTTATGTAAAGAAATGTTTATCTTTACTGTATATATGATTGAGAGAAAGCATTGGCATTACAAGACTATTGAATCTTGTAATGCCTGATTCAAAATTGCAGGTTTCAGGTAAATATTATCTTCATGATATCCACTTCTTTTTAAATAGTCAATTTCATTAAAAAAATTATACCAGCTTTCTTGGATGGGTCATTGCTGCTTCCAAACTATGAAACTGCGGTCGGCAAGTACCTAGTCCAAACTAATTTGTTTTGGGGGTGGATTTATAGTTAGAAGGTTTTGCTCAATGAGATTAATCTGGACTGCTGAAATAGATTTGTCAGTCTGTAAAAGCATCTCTTTGATAGAAGTCTTCTGTAGATCTGCAAGTTCTGCACATTGTTTGTGCATTGATCATTTATGCTTTTTGTTAGGAAACATATAGCTGGACATCAATGCATTTAATGTTGCCCTAACCTTTTTGTAAATAGATGAGAGAATAGTCTTGACATCTGATGATAACCATGCTTTACTATCTTCTACATAATAATGGGGTAGCTGTTCGGAAGGTATATGATATTCAATCTTTGAGGTGGCATTAGGCAGTTTCTAATGCACTTGATAATACCAAGGATATTGATGGGTTTTGTTGCTTTTAAAGGCCGTAAGGGCATGTAAACAGCGCTTTGTTGTCTATCCTGAAGTGATAGTGTGCTTGGGGTACTAGGAAATTGTTGTGGGGAGTGGTAAGGAGAACCATGTTTTTTTTTTGTTTGTTGTGTGAGGAACAAAAATTCGAATAGAAGTGCTGGAATTTTGGCGTTTGTAACGGAAGCTGATCCCCTCCTAATTAACAGTGGAGCAGACTAAGTTTCCAACTTGAACTAATTATTTTTAAATAATAAATCACTTTTTCCTAGAAGTGTCTCTCAAGCATGTCTTTGTTGCCTTGGTATCTGTAATAAGGCGTTTCTTCTGAGTGAATCTGTTGCATGCAGACGTTCAGGGCAGTCCTTTTAAGGATTCTAAGCTATGGGTTTTCAAAATTCTATGTAAGTGTTGGTCTTAGAGAACTAACGTGCTAGAAAGCAAAAAATGTAAAGCATATCTTGGGAGGTGAAATTCTCGGCATGGTGCAATAAGGTGCTGCCATTTTCCACCTTAATTGGGTTTAAAGGCCGATGACTTACGATTGTTCTGTGCCGCAAGGAATTGATTCTATTTGAATGAAGCATAGTTGCAGGAACCTTAGGGATAAGGCCATGGTCCCACCTTAGGAACTCGATCCTGCGGTTCCTCTTAGTTATCTTAGAGGGAGCTGGGTTTAGAGAAATAGGGATCTCACACCCAATAAAATGAGATCTCAGTCTACATGCTTGTGTGATCCCCCCAAGGAGAGGAGCTATATACTATTAATTAACATACTTCTCTTCTCCTTGGTATTATAAATTTATTTCTTTAGAATATGTTAAACTATGTTGCATATCACATCGTGATATACTAGAATTATGGTATTAGAAAACTACAGTTTAATATCATAATAAGTTATTTCATGATATTAAATTATATTATTGTAGTAAATTGGAGTACAATAACTGTGGCATTGGTAATGGATAGTGTATTAAGCCAAATCCAAGTGACATAACATAAAATTTTTTCGCAATACAATACTGCAATAGTTGAATTACATGAATCTTACATACATATTTACAATGAAATACAACTTCCAGCCACAAAATTTGGCTTCTCATACAGAAAATTACAACTCTGATTGGTCCCTTGGCTAAGTCCAAACACAAGGTGCAACAAGGAGATTGATTAAACTTGATAGTGCTCAAGTCCTTTAAAATACAGCAACGTACAAATTATATTACCAATTTATAGATCACTTCAGAAATCCATCAACCACTTCAAATTCAATCTCCTCCTCCACCAAAAACAAACGCTATAAGTGCACAATTGATTTGACCATGGGAAGCCATGTATCGAGCTCATTTTTGCCTCGTTTACAGCCAAGACCATAACTGTGTACCATGGGATGACTTCTAGGATGGCATTAAGATATAGGGCAATTTCACATCATCAATTTTGGAAGCGATTAAGCATTGCATAATCCACACTATTGTATTTCAACATATGAGATGGCTTGACAATTAGGATCCAAAATGAGGGATTAGCATGGGAGAAAATAGGGCTGAAATTAATCTCAATTCGGTAGGAAATCAAGAAGCATGACATGGAAAAATTTGACATAGTTTTCCCTTAATAAATTTTCAATTTAAACTACCAAAATGATGATCTTATTGACTGATTTAGGATCCAATAAATTGCAGAGAAAAATCAGTCAATACAATTCAAGAAAATCTCAATCAAACACTCTCCAAACTTTGATCAATCAATTATGAATAAAATCAAAACTCTAGAATCAATCTAAACTACCTTGCTGTAAATGTGAATTACAGCCATCATAAGGACTTCATAAATGGCTTGATGATGATCTCTTCACAGAAACAAATCTCCATACAGCTGGAGTTTCACCTAAGCTTGAGATCAAACTCCAATTGGAGTTTGAATGGAGTTTTCTCTTACTAGATTCTCACTTTTCTTCTTTCCTTCTCTTGCTAAACTTTTTGATCTCATGAAGAAAGAAGAAGAGGCTTGAGGAGGGCGGGAACTCATGGACGCATTTCTCTCGCTAAAACCTATCAAATAGAGAGAGAGAGAGAGAGAGGAGAGAGAGAGAGAGAGAGAGAGAGAGAGAGAGAGAGACTACTACTAGTAGTTAAGTAAAGGAAGGACGGTCGTTAGTACTACCGTACGACTAACTACACTACCACCTACTTCGTTTGTTTCGTTCGTTGTAGTGGTGGTG